GCGAGATTCTAGGGTGGTAAATACCACCTCGGCTGCCGACGCATTGGTCCTAATATCCTCTCCAAAAAGCGGAGAACCTAAGCGCGCGTGGGGGGGAGGAGAGGAGACATAGATCCAGACAGACCTCGTCACCCCTATACGTGAGCAGTTAGTGTGTTGGAGAGATAAAACAATCGCTGGAAAGCACGCCAGGCCGTGCGCCTCAGACATCCACGATGCCAAGCAAATATGACAACCAGATGAAGGGCCCAAACGCGAGTCAAAACCCGTATATTTGTGTACCACGTCGGGTCGATCCGATCGCTCGATGACATAACCGAGTCCACAAGCTCGAGACAAAACAAAGGCCAAGATATTGACTGTTGAAGTCAAGTTGATGCTCTGGGTCCCAGTAAGTAGGGCTGGATAGGCCTGTGATACTGGGTCTAGGGTAGGACAGAGGCTTGGCCACGAGAGGACGGACGCAAACGTGCATCTCGGAGCTGGCTCTACAGAAAGCCACTTGCTAGGATTGGTAGTCTAAGGTTTAGACGTTCGTTGGGTGCTCTCTGGCCCCGACTGATACTAATTCACGTCGTGGTTTCAACTAGGAGAAATTTTTGTCGCGAAGGCATTCTGGAAATCCGCATACAGTCTAGGGACGTCTTCCTAGAAATGGGTTACCGTATGCTAGTCTGGTCCTGCTACAGACTAGCTCCGGCCTATCGTAGCTTAACAGAGGCACAGCCGTTTTCAGTTGGCACTATCAAATACGTTGGGGATTCGTAAGGGACTTGCGTATGTGCTTGTCTGTCTGAGCAGATTGATCGACTCGACGCGCTTGTCCGCTTCGCCGATTCTTTAGGTAGGTCACTGGCGCCAGGTAGTCGAGGTAGGTAGGTAGTAGTCAGCAAAAGTCGGGGCGATTGGCTGCGTCAACCACACCGGGATCCGAGACACGATCCTCTCGACCCATTTCCGAATTGAGTTTGCTGGCAGATGCAAAGAGGGGGGAGACCAGGCAAGGGGTCCTGTCCTGCTTGGACCAACACCTTGGACAATGCAGAACGTGCCGAGCATTGCGGAGGAGAGTCTCGCTGGGCTAAAACCATGGTAATTTGACAGTCGGTAATTGTTTCATTTGACGTGCATCTGTGACTGGCCAACCCCAGAGGCCAAGCTGGTCAAAACCGGAGAGCTCGAGAGACTAGCATACTGGTAGTGCCATCGCACGATCACTCGACGCTAGGAGCTCCGGCTTAGGGATTGATAGATACAGGCGCTACTGAGAGGGTTATCTTTCATGGGGCACGGGCTATTACTCCATATTCCATACCTAGTGCTACCACGGTATGTCGTGCTGGTAGATCCAAAGGGTCTATGCTCGGGGAAGGAGTAAGAGCGGTGACCAGGATGATGCTAGTGCTTCTCACCTGAGAGGTGCCGACGATCAAAAAAAAAAAAAAACCCAATTGATGCAGAGTCAGCGCAGCGCGGGACAGACCAATGCGAATGACTTGTGGCGACGACCTGAGGGTGGCGTGCTGGTGGTGGTGGTGGTGGTTCATGCATCCTTGCGGCTCCTGCCTTTGCGTGATTAGCACCCTGGAATGACTGTGCGGCATCGCATCGGGGGTGGGTGTCCCCGGCATGGGAAACAGAATAAGAGCGCCCGATAGCCCTAGTGCTATGTACATGGTGATTAGTGTCGATGAACATAGGCCTAGAAGAGTTTATCGAGCGGCCATCATGGGCGCTTTGCGGCTCGGATGCTCATATGGTCCATCGGAAGCCGCTCAGAGAATCTAAAGGCTGCGTCGAGATAGCATGTGTAGACGCTAGTCATCGGATTGCAACAGCCTCATATGCACAATCCAATCCATATCGATCGTCAAAAGGCTACGGCGGGTGGTGGTGGCGGCAAAGGACGGAGGGATGGATGCAAATGGGAGGGGCGTGGCGTGGCGTTTTGGGGGGGCGGCATTGGACGGCGAGACTTGGGTCAAAGCAGCTAGATGGTGATGGGCGATGAGAGACATAGGGCAATTTTAGTCAGGACAAGAACTGGTTCATGTCTTGACAGGCACGCGTCAGCAGGATAGTGTTGATTTATGCAAGGGAGATCTGTGTTTTTTTTAAGGTCCTGCAGCAGATGTACGTGTATCTGCTCGTCAGACCTGAGTTTACGTACATATGCATCGGGGCCCAGGTGGTTTCCATCGCTGCGAATAATAAAATCACCTGCGCGCGTAGCGCTGTGCCTGAGATGAGGGTTGGCACGATGGAGGGGGGATGAGCAAGGGTGGTGCTGGATTAGTCGACCACTGCCTTATTAGTCGGCCGAAAGTACGGAGTAAGTACTCGGTACACGCTCGAGCGACCAGGCCAGGTGAGGCCATCAGTAATAAATTACATGGACGGTCGATTGGCCTGGCGCAGTCCATGTCATGCCCTGCCAGGGAAACTCGCGGGTATGGATGCACGCACATATAGGGAGACTCATTTGCCTGGATCACGGCCTGGATCCCCTCCAAGGAAGGATGAGAGCATTGTCGGTGTTCATGGGGGCCCTCCGCTAGTCGTTGATGCACCGCTGGGTAGAGCCCAGGGCCCCAGGATCATCGCGACGGCAGCGTCGCATTCACGCTATGAGCAGGTTAGGGACGACAGGTTGTGGTACGCCTACAGACAATGCCGTGTAAAGATCCCACCAGGGCTGGTCCTTGAAAGTGACGGTGATGTGCCGTTGGCTCCGTTTTCCTCTGCTTGAAGCTGCGCTAGTTGAGAAAGGAGATATTAGTCCGTACTGCATTTCCTGCAGAGAGCGAAGAGCACCTGCCGACGCCGCCGCCAACCGACATGGGCAGAGGGAATCAAAACAAAAACAGCCCTCCAAAACAAAACAAACAGATCACAAAATCGATGTCGCGCCCATGTACGAGAGAGCGATCGTCTTGGGCGATGCCACTTACATGATATGGAGGCGCCACTGCCCACCTTATGGTGGCATTATGAAGCAGAACCCAGGGCGCATCTGCCTATCTTGTCGTGCTTCTCGTCCTCTTCCCCAGGGTCTCCTGATAAATAATAGGGGACCATGCTTATCGGTTACGGTGTCTCCTCCACATTACGGCGAGAGTGGCCATGGCCATGGGTTGTTGTTTTAGCGCAGGCAAGGTGATGCCAGGGTGAGGCGGCAACCCAATGAAATGCGCTTGCGATCCTGCAACCCCTGCACCACGGGCGCAACCAGACAGTCGTCGTTGCATCCACGAACGAAGCTGGTTGGTCTTGAAGACGCAGGTGAGATGGGGCCTGGTGCTGCAGAAGGGAAAAGAAGCTGGCTGAGATCATTGCCCCCGTGGGATCAAGAGCCTGGGTTGGCACGGGGGACACCCGAGTCCGGGCAGGAGCTCGCTGAAGCTCAGGCCCGACACGGTGAGATCGTGCCTGACGAGCGAATGACGGGCAGCAGACCCAAGGGCTCGCTGTGCCTGGCAGACCGGCCAGAAAGAGAAACCGAGCACTTCCTGTGCAGCAATGCCATCTATGCTCTTTTGAATTTTTCTCGCTCTCTTGTAGAACCCTTGTAAGCAATGACGCACATTCATACCATTCCCAATGCAAATTGATAATATTAATCCCAAAATGCATCCGAGCCGTCTAAACGGAGAAGAGCACGGCCCCACAGGCATGATGTTTAGGGGGTCAGCTCCACTCGCCATTGCCCGCTAGGACGCTGCTCTGCTGCTGCGTGTAAATTATTGGGAGGAGGCCTGGGAGGCAGCTGGGTGGTGTGGCCAGGGAAGGAGCGAGGACGGGAGCGACATGCTAGGCCAGCCCAGGGAGGTCCCTAGGTACTCGGTACAAGCACGTCCCTTACCTGCAGCGCACCTTTCACAGTGGACGGCCAGCAGGTGAGGAGCCCGTCCCGCCCTGTCCTGAGCGCCAAGCTCTCGACGTCCAGTGCCATAGCCTCTTTGGGACCGCGCTCTCGTATTACTGAGCGACAGGCAACCTCACTAGCGGGTGAGCACTCGCTCACCTCGCTCGAGTTTCAGTCCCTGGCAGCCCTTCTCCTGTCCTTCTCCAATTGCTTCTCTCCTTGCCTCCTTGCCTTCCAACCTCCATCGCCGCCTCTTCTCTTCTCATTCTACTACATCATCGTTGCATCTTCTCCTTTCTGCATTTTCGTTCTTTTTTTCTGGTTCTTTCTTTTCCTTTCGAGTGCCCCCCTTTTATATTCCCACTCTCCATACTCCCTTGGCCGCCCCTGCGTCGCCCATCTGCCTCACTCACGCCCCTGAGCCAGGCCACGGTCTCCTTTGTAACTCGACCCCCCTTTCCCGTCGACGTTTTACAAACGAACCCTCCGACCCGATCATCTTCGGCCTCTCACAACGGTCAGAAGATTGTACTGGTCTACTTTGTAGACGCAGCCGTTGTCTCCATAGCCCCCATTGTTTGCTCGATCTGGCCTATGTCGTCGTTTGCTTGACGCGTTTTTATCGACAGGTCTTCTTGCCTGCTCGACCCGTAACCGACGACCCCAAAACCCTAGCCGTTCGATACTATACCATTTGAACCTTCGACGAGCAATTTACGCGGTATTTTGATTGGCGATTCCGAAACTTGGCCTTGATTGCAGAGTAACTCGTGGTAGCAGCGAGTTCTCATATCCATCCACCCAAATATTTGCCTTAATCCCCCCTTGGCCGCTGGCGTCCTCTAGCTCTCTCCGCCAACACTTTGCATACTCGCTGTCTTTCCGTCGACGTCAAAACCAATTAGACGAATTGCCCCAAAAAAAAAGAAGAAAAAAGAAAACAAGCCAAAACCAAAAACAACAACGAAACCAAACACTCCCAAACGTTCCCCACAACAGGTCGTTTGGTATATTTGCGAATCTTGATTGAGTTTGGTTTCGTCAAGCCCATCGCGAGCATCATTGTCCCAAGCTCCATAGATTGAAGCTTCTCGCGGGCTCTTCACCTTTCATAGACACACCCTGAAGACAAATTATGGCCGCGTTGGTTCAAACATATACAAAAGAGACGGCACCAATCACGATGTTTCAGACTCGACCTACTTCGGCCACCGGCCGGATGCCATCTGGCCAGCAGACTCACCAGTACTCAGGATCCATGGCACAATCACCGAGAACAGCGACCCAGTTTGGTGCTACACCTGGCTACCGTGGCTCAACCCCGATTCAACAATATGCCTTCACGAGCACCCCGAGTTTAAATCAGAGTAATCAGAGGCAAGGGCAGAAAGGGAGCACATCTCCGGCACCACAGGCCTCGCCTGCTCCACGTTCTCCTTCATCCAGTGTATCTGCTGGATCGACAGGCAAACCTGCCCCGGAGCGGTACAGGAGAAACAGCGCCCAGGCAAGCAGCAATAATCACGGTCGATCCCAAAGCGCCACGTTGCCATCGACAGCGAACCTCCCCAATACTTCTCAATTCTACGGAGTATCAAACAATTCGAAGACCGCGTTGCCCAATCGCCCTGCAAGTTTCTACGCAACCATTCCTGGTGGTTCAATGGATGACATGCATCTCCATCAGCCATCCCAAGATGCGAAAACTATGCGCCGACGAAGTATCCAGAGTCTGGAGTCGCTGACTGCGTTCAAGCCACCGTCATCGGAGCCGGTGAAGGTTGTTAAGGATGCGAAGACTCTCCGTCCTTCCTTGCCAAATACTTCAGTTCACTCTCGCAGCGGAAGCTCAGAGAGCGTCGGTTCTAGCCGTAGCACCCACTCTCGTCCTTCTGTAAGTCTTGCAAAAACCGCCAACCTCCATTTCATAGTATGCCTTCCGCTAACAAAGTGTCAATCGTTAGTCTGCAAGTCGAACATCCGCCAACCACACAAGCAACACCTCTTCGACACCAACCGAAGAGACGTCGAAGCAAGAACAGCCCAAGTTGGCAACTGCTCCTACCCGAGGAAGCTACTCAGATGCTCTCAAGCGTGGCCACAACCCCTCACCTTTATCGCGACCGGTCACTATGTCTGGCGAAGCTGCCGAGAAGTCAGCTGCTCCAACCAGCAACTTGGACAGCCCTGCAGCGAAACAGCTGGCAGCAATTAACCAGAAGGGCGCAAAGGGCAAGAGCAAGACCTCCAAGTTGCGGCGAGCATTTTCCTTTGGTAGTGCCTCCGAATTACGAAAAGTTGAGGAGGAGAACAACGAGAAGAAGGAAGCAGCTAGCAAAATGCAGAAGAAACAAACCCCTGAGGAAGCGTACGAGTCTGAGCAGGCCCGGATCGCAGAAGCCCAGGAGGCTGGCGGCATTGGAAACAGCATCTACGGCGGTCGTTTCTTTGGATCCACAGATAATCTCTCGATATCCTCCACAGCTTCTTCGGCTTCCATCATGATCCGCAAGATGGGAAGGGGGATGAAGAAGGGCACCCGCTCACTTGCCGGCCTCTTCCGCCCTAAGTCTGTCATTGGTGTACCACCTCCTGAGCCCCTGGCCCCCGAGACGAGTCAGACAGCTGTCTCCATGGTCACCGTTGAAGCCGAGACGCAACGTGTCAACGTATCTGCTGAGCCCAAGACTTCAGATAACTTCCCTCATCTTGAGCGAAACTCGTTAGACGCTTCTCAGATCCCTGACATGGTGAATGAGAGATTGGGCAGCTCGGGAACTGACAATTCGAATTCCCGAAAGAGTATTGTGGGAGGCGACAAGGAGCGAGCTGAGGCCCTTGCTGCTGTGCGCAAGGGTATCTTGAAGCGTATGTGTCTTGCATTTGGTCCCCTTGCTTGTCTTTTTGACTAACATTGCCGATAGGATCTGGAAGCCCAAACAATCGTGGTGCTGAGTCTGGACTTGAACTCCCCAATGTCCCAGCTGTGTCTGATTCGCCAAATTCAAGTGCTCCTAGCACACCAAACGATGACCAAGGCCATCGCAGAACCGGCTCGATTGCTTTAGGAAATGAGGACTATTTCATGACTGCTCTTCGCCTTCGTCAGGACACTAAGACCGCACCTCCCACTCCTCACGCGAAGCGCAATGCCACATTCTCTCCTCGCCTCATCTTTCATGATACCTGGCCACCACAAGAGTATGATAGACGAGGTGAGATTGCTACTTGCAATCGTCTCACGCCTATGCTAGCTCAGCAGATCAAGGAAGAGCTCAATACCTTCAAAATGGTAGGTTTCTCCTCTGTAGCTTAATCACCATTGGTTTGCCAGTACTGACCTCGAGTTTAGGAGATGGAAGTCCATGAGACCTCGAAGATCTACACTCACTTCTTCTAATTGATGCCTCGCTCAGTCAAATTTGCCGACTGTGACCAAATCTTGGTCCACATAAACCACCGGCTCGCAACATTATGTACTCACAACCAAAGGAACCATCCATAGGCGTTCAGGGACAGCATTGTAAGGTGTCAATGGCGTTTCGTCATTTTGTTTTTTTCTCCCATTTGTGGAATTTAGACCACCGGGTCGTATATCAAGTTAATCTCGAGGCAATTTTGGTGCAGTGGACCGGGATATGCTCACGCATTCTATAAAGTGGTTGGAGACGAATCGCCAGGTACAGGGCAGACTCTCTTTTCATTGCTCTGCTATTACCAGGTCACCCATTCCTTTCTCTCTTTCTTTTCATTTACTCTTTTCCCTTATTGTTCGAAGCGACAACGTTGGCAAAGCACATATTCTTATGTACAGGATGAACATGGGGTTATGTCTGAAAAGACAAAAATGCTGACCACGGAATGGAAACAAGACATTGAATATGGCGACACCGATTTGGGAGGCAAGTTGACCTTGCATGGAGGAAGACTTCTTTCCTCATTAATTTGGGATGTCATGGTAGAAATGGTCTTTTTATTTATAGCTGGATCAGTCAACGAAATAAGTGAGACGTTATAGAGATGTTTCCTCTCTACAAATATGATTATCGTCATGCTGAATTCCGAATGGGACGTGAATTATGCTAGATGCGTTTGTTTCAAGTGACACTGTTTGGGGTTTGCATGGGAGGGAGCTGCCAAGCAAGCTCTCCAGATCTGAGCAAGGGAATTGTTGTGGGTTCGGGCAAATGTGGAGACCGTTGTCCCCGGCTCCTTGGCGCTTCGGTTAGTAGTTTGTTTCAGCCACAACTAGACCCACCAGCCACAGTGTTGTCATACCTTCAACTTTTTTTTTTTCTACCCCGGTGGCTCGCCTCCACATGCAAGTAGAGCGGAATCTCAAACCCCACGACTCTGCTTGAAATTCTCGGGCTGTTCGAGACGGAAGGCGGTTCAGCCAGGTCTTCCTAGGGATTTATCTATGTGGCTGGCTCCTCGACCTTTAAACCGTCTGTACATTGGATCTTCGCTCTATTCCGCACTACGAAGGAATTTCGCGACGATGGCGGCGACCCAGGAAAATGGGGCTGCGAAGCCGACATCGACCCCCAGCGCTGCGAGTTCCAAGTTGCATGGGCGGGAGTTCTATGAGAGCATTGGAAAGCCCAAGTTTATTGTAGCCCCCATGGTAGATCAATCTGAGTTTGTGAGTCCCCTTGCGAAAAAGAAATCGACACTCATAGCCCTCGTTCGGCTTTGCGCCATGACTTGAACCCTTTGGTGCCCCCAATCATCACCTCTTTCTAAGACGACGTTGTTCTAGGCCTGGCGAATGCTCACGCGATCCTTCATACCCGCCTCGGAGCAGTCGAGCCTGCTTGCGTACACGCCCATGTTCCACGCGCGACTCTTCGCCCAGGACGACAAGTACCGAGCCGCACACTTCCAGGCCGTCAGGCCGGCGTCCGAGTCCGAGCCCAAGGAGCCCTGGCTCGACGGGAACCCGTCCATCGACCGGCCGCTCTTCGTGCAGTTCTGTGCCAACGACCCGGAATACCTCCTCGAGGCCGCCAAGAAGGTGGCACCGTACTGCGACGCCGTGGACCTGAACCTCGGGTGCCCGCAGGGCATCGCGCGCAAGGGCAAGTACGGCGCCTTCCTGCAGGAGGACCAGGACCTCATCTTCCGGCTCATCAACACGCTGCACAGGGAGCTGCCCATCCCCGTGACGGCCAAGATCCGCATCCTCGAGACGGAGGAGAAGACGCTCGCCTACGCCCGGAACGTCCTCGCGGCGGGGGCGTCCATCCTGACGGTGCACGGGCGCAGGAGGGAGCAGAAGGGACACCTGACGGGGACGGCCGACTGGAAGATGCTGCGGTTCCTGAGGGACAACCTGCCCCCCGAGACGGTCATGTTCGCCAACGGAAACATCCTCCAGGGCGGGGACATCGAGAGGTGCCTGGAGGCGACGGGCGCGGACGGCGTCATGAGCGCAGAGGGCAACCTGAGCGACCCCTCCATCTTCGGCATCCCCCCTCCCGCCGGCGAGGAGGGCAGGGAGTACTGGAGGGGTAAGGACGGCAAGGGCGGCTGGAGGGTGGACGCCGTCACGAGACGCTACCTGGACCTGCTGCACAAGTACGCCCTCGAGGAGCCGTCGTCGCCTCCCCAGAGGCGGCCCCTCTTCGTGCCCGGGGACGACACCGCGTGGCTGACCGAGGCCGATAACAAAGAGGCGGAGGATGAAGACGGACCCCCCCGGAAGAAGCGCAAGCCCACCAAGCGCCTCGAGACGTCGCCCAACCTCTCCGCCGTCCAGCCGCACCTCTTCCACCTGCTCCGCCACTTCGTATCCCGACACACCGACGTGCGCGACATCCTCGCCCGGAGCCCCCGCGAGGGCATGGAGGGCTACGAGCGCGTCCTCGCCGCCGTGGAGCGCAAAGTCGCCGAGGGCCTGATCGAGTACGAGCGCACGGGAGGGAAGAGCTACGAGGACGAAGTGCGCGAGCTCTACGAGAAGGAGGACGGGCCGGAGGGCGAGAGCTCGGTGCCCACGCTGAAGCGGTGCAAGAGGCCCTGGTGGGTTGTCCAGCCCATCATCCGGCCGCTGCCCTCCGAGGCCATGGCCAAGGGGGCCATCAGGCCGAGCAAGAAGGATCTCAAGGCCGGGGAGAATGGCCAGCAGCAGCAGAACCAGAAGGAGACGAAGGAGAGCAGCCAGGTAAATGGGGACGGCGTAAAGGGCGAGACTGCGCCTCTCCCGGCAGTAGCTGAGGTCCAGCTCACTGAGCAGGCGAAAGAGATTGCCTCGCGTGATGAGCTGGTCTCGGGTTGAATTGGGGAATGATTGCCACTTCGTTTATGAGAAAAGTAGATACGTGTCCTAGATGATATAGACTATAATGTATGCCGTCGAGGCAGAATAAAAGATGTAATACAAAGAGACCCTAGAGGTTAAACCTATCTGTCGATGAACAATCGATGTTGAGACTTGGCTACGGACGTATTTCACGGCAATGAGGATTTGAGGGTTTAGAACCGAAGCAGAAGACGTGTATTTATTGTGACAATTGACTCCTATATTTGAATCAATCACCCAAACTCCGATGCTATGATTGTATACAAAAAGAAAAAAAAAATCAAAGGGTATTGAATTGAGTAAATGCAGACAACAAGATCCCTAGTATTTATCAGATGATTTGAGATTTATGGGGTTGGAAATACGGTTTGAAAGGAAATGTTCTCTCCCCCAAGAAAAGTGCCCCAATCCAATTCATTGAATGGATCATCGTACCAACCGAACATGTCTAGGCTTCGGGACGTGACGGATGGCGTGGAGAGTGCTTGATCATATTCGGCAGTCAAGGCATCGTAGAGGGCGGACACAATATCTGGGGAACGGTCAGAAGCCCTCATCCAAGGCCGCATCTCAGCGAAACTCTCAAGGGCTTTGGCCAAGCTCGCCCTGCACATGGCAACACGGTCGACGGCGGAGGTTTCCATGTTCTTATCCACGGCAATCGCCAATAGGGGAGTCATGCAGGCTTGGAAAAGATACCACGCAGCGTTCCAGACATGAACCCTGTTTGGGGTCCAGTAGAGCGCGATTGCATCAATGGTATCGCTTGCCACCGAGCAACATGAGTCCAATAGCCTCTGTGGTTCTGGAGGTAGTTCTGTGATATTCTTTCGGTGACCGTGGGCCACATAGAGGAAGGACGACCGTGTAAGTAGCATTCGGGCGTTGAGATATCTCGTTCGCATGAATTCTCGGGCAATTTGAAAACCTTGACGCGAAGAAGATGGCTCGGTGATGCAGGGCGGTAAGCTCTCATACCACTGCACGAGTTCCTGATCGAAGGAGATGACCTCTTCCAGTGAGAGTCTGCCTGATCGGGCGAATCTTTGCTGCATCCTGTCGCAGATAAGACAGAAGCTGGAACTGGCCTGCAGTGAAATAATGGCGTGGTCTTGAGGAGATGAGGCTGTGGGAAACTGGGTGTCCATTGTGGTATTGTCCCAGCGTCCGCAGGTTGGTCTGCCGTGAGTCATAGCTCCCCAAGTGTCCAGACAAAAGAGGCTCCACCAAGTTCTTCGTCGAGTCTGGATGTGTTTTTGGTGGATTGCTTCTGTTTCTGGGTCGTCGCCCGTCGACTTTTGGCGAGGTTCACGATGCAAACCAAGGGCTATGGCTATACGGTGGGCAGCACCCAGGACACTGTAAGCCATATTGGGTGAGTTGCGATAGTGCAGGTAATAGCCACCAAGGAGACAGAGAGCATGCAGGCTGTCAAGGTTGCCTGCCCCTAAACTGTCGAGATTGACAAAAGACCGAGCCTGGTGGTAGTAGTATTCGTGAAGACTGTCACTTCCCGATGCGATAGAGCCCATGACAAAGACCATGTTGAGGAGGCCTTTCCATGATGCATCCTGTCGAGCCCCAGAAAGATAATCTCGGCGAAAATCTTCTTCATCAAGGAGAGGGGTAATGGAATGAACACTATCGAAGAAGAAGTCAACGCAGCGTTGCTCCTTAAGCCTATCCCTCTCCAGATAGGAAACTGGCGGCAGGGGCTGTGACGGGATTGCAGCCCAAGCCTTGGAACATCTCACTGTATGTTCCTTGGCAGCGGGGCATAGACGAAATATACCCCTGATTATGGCGCTCATCGAAGTCATTCCCAGATAGGAACGAATTTGACTATCCGTTGTGAGACCAAAGGCGTTGACATCGTCGCTGGCCACGCTGCATGGTTCCTGTTGCGTTTCGTCCCATCGTCTCACTACAGGTGGCTCGCCATTTTCAGACACGGCGGCAGAGTCATCCGCATCTGCTTGATGTGGCACTATATCTTCTGGTCCTGCTCCTCCTTGGTTTAATGATATTCGCAGACTATCTCTGCGAGATGAATGAATAAATGCAAGAGCATTGGTGTTAGTAGTGCTGGGAAGGAGATTCAAAAGTTCAAGAGCCCCTTTGCCTTTGAGATCCGACAAGGGAATGCCGGGGAACAGGGTATCAAGGATTTCTTTTTGAGTCCGTAATTGTTCAGAGGCTTTGTCGAAAGTGCTGTGATTTCTGTGTTAGATCCAAGATGGAACCAGACATGAGGGCAAAGCTCTTCTCGCGTAGGCAGGGGGAGGACGGCTTACCTCCTGCTTACAGCGTTTCTCTTCAAACGTTGACGGTAGGCGCAAGAATCTGGTGACCTGTAGTAGACACAGCTGGCACAGGGAAGACGGCCATCGCACTTGACCTTGCGTCTTGTGCATTCCAAACAAGAACGATTGACCCTGCGGGTGGACAGTTCGGGGTCTTGGGATGATGCTAAGGAGCTCCCGTGAGGGGTATCGGGGGGCTGAGAGGGCATGGCTACTGGGTGGTGGGATGGTTCTGGTTGCCACCGCACGCAATGACGGTCATTCCCACGGCTGCATCAGAGCGATATTGGCTGTCAAGGAATAGTTGTGTCGGCCGTCAGCAGAGCGAGGTTGGGCATGATTTGTGATGTGATGTGATGTGAGTAGCGCACGACACCACATGGTATGATGGATGTGGAGAAGGAGGACCTGCAAATCACGAGGAATCCGGGGGAGAGGCCTGGAAGGAGAAGGGACCCACCCCAGGCTCAGGTTTCGGCCAGGCTGGTTTCCGCAATCCTGGCACGATGCAGAATACTAGGTACTTGGAGAGTGAAAACTGGGTTTTCGAGAAAGTGTAGTAGATTAGTTGCCGTATACTACGCACAACTCTGGAAACCATCTAGCGATGCCATTCTGTATCAGTTCGTACACTGGAGGTATACCTGAGGCACGACATCGGAGACTCCACAGTGACGGCCCGAAGTGCCATTGACTGACACTTTTCCGGTGCCTGGGGTGCACCTTCTTCAGCGGGTTCTTCAGCGGGGAGGTACGTGGGAGTGGAGAAGGAAGGTGCGCCGGTGCCAGCCACTTGCGCCTTCCAGCCCGGAAATTCCCCAAAAAGGAACCGGTGGCCACTTCCTTTTTAATCCCATCCAGTCTGCCTTGTTTCTCTCGCAGAGGATAGATGAGCCAGAGCTGGTTGACCTTCACTGTTGGCCCAAGAGCATCGATCAATTGGGATGTGATATTCTTTTTTTTTTTTTTTTTTTTTGCTCATGAGCTATCGGCTGGTTGGTTAGTCAAGTTGTCAATTCACCACCGAGTATCAATAAGTTCTGCCCAGGGCAGGACACTCTTGACCTTTGATCACCTACAGTTCGCTATGACAATCGACGAGATTCTGAAAGCACCTGATTGTCTATAGGTAACCTGAACAATGACGATGATAAGAGAAGGTTTTGACGGAAGCACGGCGAGTGCGAAAAGGGCTGAATTCCGGATCTTGCCACACAGAGCAGAGGAGCCTTCGGACAATGGCTGGATCTGTGGGTTGAGGCTGCAGAAGATGGTAGGATGCCTCGGTGGGAGAGAGGGCAAGACTGAAATAGCCCTAGATTCTACCCAGTGTTCCTCAAGCAACGGCGTCTCGTACATATGCAGATGTAGCAATGTCAAACATGTCCTTTCTGGGCAGAAATGTCACCACCTCCTGCCCATGTGGATCTGGCGAGGGTGATAATGTTACCGGAGAGACAATTTCTGAGACACACAAAACCCACTGTTTGACAACAAAGACAGAGTCAACGGGTCGGAAGATGTAGGTTTCATTCTGTGCCATGAGAGCAGCAGACTCCCTTGATGATCAGGAGTGTCGAGCTATGCTGGTGTGAGCTTAACCTGGAACTCGTCTTCCCTTGCGAGTCGACGTCGAGCTTGTTAAGCAGCTTATTCTTAGTCTTATCTGTTTGTCTTACGAAGTACAAAAAGTTTAGATAGCGATAGTTTGCAGAGGAGCGCACGGAACTATCCTTGGTATCTAGACCCATGACTGCGATTGTCGAGCTGATTCGATTGCTCTACTATCCTAGAATCTTCCTCAAACGCCCAATATTCAACCGGAAATACTTTAAATCAGGCTCAAATACACATCAATCTCGCTCCTCTACCACACCGGAAGATATTTCTCATTTTTGGGAGGCTCTTCGTCGATGGAAGAAGCCCGGCCATGCCGGCACCCATTCGGATGATGAGAAAGCAGGAAAATTGGAGGAAATGTAGAAGCAATTCGGGCTCACAACAGAGGCCTCGCCTTAAGTACTCGTTAAAAGACTTGCGAGGGCGAACTCGAGACGCCGAGAGTAGCTCATATATTAGGGCCCTGGGACTCGTTCACGAACTGCGACCTGGCCATTCGACGAAATATGATCGCCAAATTGCTAAATCTATGAAGACGTCGATATCTTTGAGACATTCCCTAGCAGTGCCTGGTATTTTTGGATCATCACGACGCTCGGCTGAATCACGGTAACGGAAAGAGGAACCGGCTCGTACATTATACGCCAAAACAGTGGAGGGTGAGAGACAGTCGGTCAGAGTGCCTGATTTGCTGGAAGAATCCAATGACAACGATACCTTCGAGTGCCCTTACTATTGCCTACAGCTAGAGTCAGCGCTTATGAGAGAAGATAGGAACACTTGGAAGTAAGCAACGTTTGATACACATTGACAAGCTTAATAGCTGACTTGGTCCTAGGAGCCATTTTGTTTGAGATCTTATTTAGAAACGGGGATAAACTGTATGTAACTAAGGGTGAGTGGATGTATCACGAGATGCAAGTTCATCGGCACCCTTAGAACTGTAGGAATTGCAACTTAACAGTGTATTCTCCAGATGACATGACTTCTAACATCAGTCCACCCTCAGTCTAGGAAGGAAATACAATTCTCTGTGGTTTTGGAGCTGTACGAGCGACCTCTGGATGGCTTATGTCCCACGAAGCGGCCCTTATGTCACTATTCAGTCTGGCTCAAGCCCTCCTAGGCCACGCGGGAGAACACATGGCAGGGCTGTCATTGTCCGTGCTTCCTCGCTTGGGATAACGAGAATTAAAACGCAGACAGCTCTGCAATTATGTAGACACTCTTTTTCTACAAAGTCGATCGCGTGAGATATCGCGCCTGCACAGCGGCCTCTCTCTTGAGGATCTCGGACGTCTCGCAACATATACGACAAATTTACGTTAAGACTTCTGAACCTTGAATGTTCCAGATAGTTTGCTGTTTTCAGATGAAGCTCTTGGCTAGTAGAGCATCAGTCGTGTAAGAACCGTGTGTAAGCTAATGGACCAGAGCATCTCTCCCGCCACGTACTGAGACCCCATTATTCGAGTACCTCCTGAAGAACCAAATGATGAAAAAAGTGGTTTTATATTTGGTCCTATGTTTTTCTAGACTCGGACCTTTCAGAAAAACCTGTATCCGGAGTCGAAAATTAAGAGGATCAATTCTACCTAATTATAGATCGGTGTAGATTCTGCACTTCGATCTAAGAGACAACCCCAGCCACTTCCATTAGACGAGAACGGCAACTGACAACTGTCAGAACGAAAATGGGATTCGGGAAACCCTGAGGGTTTATGACATTATCTGGAATATTTCGACCTATAGACTCCTCATCCTGTCTCCCGGTAGCGTATGCTGGCCGAATCCCACCTTCGATGTTACTTATCTCCTCCCGGACATATATAAACCCGCAAGTGTGCGTTGTGGCCCAAGTTTCTGTGGGTAGTTTACAACTAGTCCGGGAATGAAGCTGCATCGTGTTGATTTATTTCCTTTCGCGGTAAAAGGAAAAGATCAGCCGCCGAGACTCCGCATAGCGTATATTCCCGAACCCACGATGTTTCCATCGTCAATCAACGGCATTATATGGTCTAATATAAGTAGACTATGCTATAGTATTCCACTTATATATAGTAATTGTACCGCTTGCTGACTTGGAAACTAACATTCCCCTCAATCCTATCGGAACATTCGACCCGTCTCACAGTAGAGGTTGGAAAATGGCCACACACAACAAGATCCAGCTTGAGAGTGGCTGGGTCTTCAAGCAAGAAGATGATTCTTCATCAGATCCATGGCTGCCCGTCTCTCGCGTCCCCACGCAGATTCATATGGACCTTCTCGATAATAAGAAGTGTGTCTCTTCATACTTCCCTACGCCGTTATCTGGATGAAGAGGTTGGCTAATATCAGATAATCAATAGGATACCAGACCCATTTGTGGATCTGAACGAGCGCTCTGTCCAGTGGGTAGGTGAGAAATCTTGGGTTTACCGACTATCATTCAAACTCCCATTTGAAAGCTCCCCCGAACAGGCAGCAGGCGCAGGAGTGAGGACAGACCTAGTCTTTGATGGCCTGGACACCTTTGCCACCGTCACTCTAAATGGGACCAAGATCCTCAGCACAGACAACATGTTCGTCTCTTATCGGGCTGACGTGACAAACATGATCTCAGCTAGCAAACAGAATGAATTGGAGATTGTCTTCGATTCAGCTCTGCTCCGAGGGCGTGACCTTGTCAAAGAGCATGCCTCTGAACATAACTTTCTCGTTCGTCAGACAGAGGCTGGACGCCTCCCAATCAGAAAGTGCCAGTGTAATTGGGGATGGGACTGGGGCCCAATTCTCATGACGACTGGTCCTTGGAAGCCAGTTTACATTGAGCAATACACAGCCAGGATAGACGATGTCTGGACGCAACATGAAGTCAGTGCCGACCTGGCTGAAGCTTCCGGCAGCATCCTGGTTAAATTGGATGGGGACATCCGCCAGGGGTATAAGACCATCGTCACTATCTCAGCAGACGGCGGAACAGTTCTGGAAGCGCAAGCTCATGACGATGGCAAGGGCCTAGCACGAGCCCCCTTCAAAATCAAAAATCCGGAGCTTTGGTATCCTCTAACATACGGGAAACAGTCTCTCTACCAAGTCGAGGCAAAGATAGTCGATGAGCAAGGCAAAGTCATAAGTTCGTTATCTAAGAAGATAGGCTTTCGACGCACAGAACTCGTCCAGGAATCCGACGAGCACGGCAAGTCGTTCTACTTCCGCATCAACAATGTAGACATCTTCAGTGGCGGATCGTGCTGGATCCCCGCAGACACCTACCAGGCGAACATCTCAGACCAGAGATTCCGAGACTGGATCAAGCTCTTGGCCGACAGCAACCAGACAATGCTGCGGATATGGGGCGGTGGCGTTTACGAGCACGACGCCCTCCTGGATGCCTGTGACGAGCTCGGCGTGATGATCTGGCACGACTTTCAGTTTGCGTGTGGAAACTACCCGGTATATGATTCATATCTAAATAACTTTGAGCTGGAAGCACGACAGCAAATCCGTCGGCTTCGAACACACCCATCGGTAGTGATTTGGGCAGGTAACAACGAGGACTACCAAGTTCAGGAGAGGTACAAGCTGGAGTACAACTACGAAGACAAAGACCCAGAGTCCTGGCGTCGGTCAACCTTCCCAGCGCGGTACATATACGAATATCTCCTCCCCAAACTCGTCCAAGAAGAGGATCCATACATGATTTATCATCCCAGCAGCCCTTGGGGCGACGGCAAGCCTCTAGACGACCCAACCGTTGGTGACATTCACCAATGGAACAGTAAGTCCTCTCCCAAGCTTCACCAGCATCTATAGAACAGGTATTGAACTGCGTCTGTCACAGTCTGGCACGGCCTCATGAGAAAGTACCAAGACGCCAAGTCCATGGGCGGCCGCTTCGTCAGCGAGTTCGGCATGGAGGCGTACCCCCATCTCAGCACCCTCAACCGCGTCATCTCGGACCCTTCCCAGAGATACCCGGGCTCCATGCCCATGGACGCCCACAACAAGGCCATCAACCACGAGCGCCGCATGATGACCTACGTCGTCGAGAACTTCCGCCCGACCAGCCTCGACATCGCCACCTACGCCCACCTCACCCAGATCGTCCAGGCCGAGACGATGCGCTATGTCTACAAGTCCTGGCGCCGCGACTGGGGGAAGGTAGGTAGCCGCAAGTGCGGCGGCGTGCTCGTGTGGCAGCTCAACGACTGCTGGCCCACCGTGTCCTGGGCCGTCGTCGACTACTACCTCGTCCCCAAGCCCGGGTTCTACGCCATCTCTCGGGCCCTGCGTCCCCTCGACGTGGGCGTGATGCGGACGGTGCACGACTGGACTTCGACGCACGATTTCGTGGACGAGAAGTCTGATCTGAAGACCGGGCAGGTCGATCACACCCTCGCAGCGAGAAACGGGACGTTCGACGTTTGGGTCGCGAGTAGCCGCACCGAGCCTGTCGAGCTCTCCGTAACGGTCAGCTTCATCTCCGTTCGCTCAGGGGCCGAGGTCCATGACCAGATCAGGCAGACAGTAACTGCTTCCTCCAACGCCACAACAACCATTATCGACTCTGCCCCCTGTCCGGCCTCCATCCCCGTTCCTGAAGATCTGACCCGGGCCTTTGACCTGTCCCAATATGATCCCTACGTCATCCACGTGTCGATATCAGCCAACGGACAAGTCATCGCCACCGACTCGGCTTGGCCCGAACCCCTGAAATACCTCGACTTTCCCGATCGAGGCCTCAACGTTCAAGTTTCCTCCACTGGAAAGCAGCTCACCGTCCAGGCCTCACGCCCCGTAAAAGGTTTCGTCTTCGAGGAGACGGAAGGCTTGAAGCTGAGCAACAACGGGTTCGACCTGATGCCTGGCGAAACGGAGACGGTGGAAGTCAGCGGGAAGATCGCAGCGAAGGAGCTCAAGTATACGTACATTGGGGCTCCGGGACCTTCCCTCAGTATCTAGTGAACCCCTTGGGTAGTTAGTCTAGAGGCAATTTGCTAAGTGAAGGAACACTAAATATCCCAAACGAACAAATCACAAATGTCAGTATAGATTGGATTAGATATTGAATAGCATTCAGCAACTTGGCTGCAGTCGGTAGTTATTGATGTACATCCCAGCTTCTAAACAAATTATACTTTAAAAAAAAAGAACCCTCTCCCGCTATGATAACTCATTCTAGTTTCCCCTGCGGCCTTTCTTCATGGGCGGCGGTGACCTCGACACGCTGTTACTGTATCGCCTCCTCTTCCCTTGTATTGGACTGACTGATCGCTTCCTCGGCGCCCTCGAGTCGACAGACGCCGATCTGTCCCGCTCACCCCGTCGAGGAGGGGTGGGGGATCTGGAGTAGGAATCCCTCCTGGCATTCCGGGCTGGAGGAGGAGAGGAGCTGTTCCGTCTGGCCCGGCGCGGTGGAGGTGATCGGGAGTCGTATGACGGGGATCGGCTCACAGGTTTTGCGCCGTTTCGTGGGCCCTTGCTCACTGAAGAGCTGTTCCTTCTGCCCCTACGAGAGTCAACACTGGGGTCTCGCCCACGCCTGACCGGGCTCGCAGAAGACGAATTTCGTCGTCTCTTGGGGGGAGGAGATCGGGATCGGCTGTAAGAGCTATATGAGGCACTCCGAGCGCGACGAGGTGGGGGGGACCTCGACACACTCTCGCTAGCAGCGCGCTTCGGTTTTCTGGCTGGGCTGGCAGAGTACGAAGGGCTTCGACCCCGTCTGCGAGGAGGAGTGGCAGACCTTGAATATGACCTCGAACGCGAGCGAGAACGCGAGCGAGAATCAGAGTAGGACCGGGATCGTCTGTCTCCTCGCGTTGAGCGGGATAGCGAGCGTCCACGATCAACAACTCTGCGAGGGCTGCGCGAGCGAGACGAGCGAGACGATCCTGTATACGATGAATAACTTGATACCGAATCAGAGTCCGAGTCATCCCTAGCCGGGGCTGCTGGCAAGGCAGGCTTGGGCATGTTCTGGAGGTACTCTCGGGACTCTTCGGTAAGAAGACCCATGCCAATACTGGTAAAGTAGTTGATGGAGAAACGGATGTTGCGCGGGGTGTCCCTGGGGAATAGCCCTTCCAGGCTAGGTCGTACCATGTCGTCAGTCAGCTTTGCTTTCAACTTGGGCATGCCCGTCTCCTCTGCAATGTGCTGAAAGAGGATTTTAATGAAAATACGGCTACTAGACGTTGTTTCATCCTCGTTCAGGTGAATAACAGACAGCGCGTGCCAGCCGAGGGCATCCACGGCAAACATGTGGCCGAACAGCATGGCAATGTTCCGCAGCTTGTTGTTCTCATACCGATGGATGGTCTCGTAGTAAGTAGCAAATGCTTTCTCAAAGAGATCACACCATAGGCGGTTGATCTTGGCGAAACGCTCTCCAATCAAACCGAAGAACTTGGTGTACGTCTTCTCCTGAGAACAGCATTCGACAATCATCGAGGGCAGCTCGGGCTCCTGGCCGGCAGGCAAGTTGATCTTCATCAACTTGTGGACGGCTTCTTCGGGGTCGGCGCTAGACATGATGGTGAGGTAGATTGTTCTCCTCAGGTTCACCAAGTCGGCGTTTGTCTGGTCCTTGATCTCCATAGCTTTGGTCTCTTCCTCCTCCTCCTCTTCCTCGGAGCTTTCATCCTCGTCGTCCTCGTCGTCTTCGTCATCGCTACCCTCGCCGAGGATCTCAGCCTTGAGCTTCTTATACTCCTCCTCGTGCTCCTCCCACTCTGGATCGAATTTGAACACATTAAGACCGTCCTGGACATCGATTTGCCCATCGAGCTCGACGTTATGTGTCACCTGGTCCTCCTCCTCAACCAGATCAAGCTCCTCCTTGATAGCCGGGTTATCCTTGAACTTGTCCTTGCGAACCTGGAAAAGAACCTCGATCATGTACTGCGTTCGCTTGTCGATGTCGGCTTCGTGTAGGATATTTCGGAACTGGTCAAACACCACCATCGAGATCGAAGCTTGCATCTCCTCCAGGTACTGCCCGACCTCACGGCAAAACCCAACCGCAATCTCGACACTGTCATCAGACGGCTTGTTTAGTAGCGTTAGAAGGATCTGGCCAGCCAGAATCTCGTGTTGGACCTGCTGATTGATCAAGTGCGCCAGGAAGGTCGTCGACGACAAGCACACGGCCTTGTCGTTCCGCTTGTAGCCCTTCCGGAACTGCATGACCAAGCGCCTGATGAGGAGCTCGCCCACCGTGGGCAGCTTCGTGTTGACAATGGCCGCCATGGCCGCGTAGATGGGCGTGAAGGGCAGACTGGCCGCCTGCGCCTTCATGATGGACCGGCAGAACAGGCCCCGGCCGCGGATTAGGTTCTCGCCAAAGAGCTCCGGCACGATGAACTTGATGTTGGCCGTGTTGACCTTGTTGATGAGGCCGTTGATGCTCTTCTTGAGCGCCTCCCACGCCATGCGCTGGTACTCCTTGCTGGTCTTGTCCGTGATCTGGGCCTGGAGCGCCCTCAGCCGCGCCGGGGGGATGTAGGTGCCTCCGGAGCGCATGTTCAGGAGCTTCTCGTACTCTGCTTTCGCCGCGGCCTGCTTCTCCTCCTCGGTCCGTACCGGGGGGGGTGTTCGGGCTCGAGGGGCCGACGGCCTGTACGAGTCGCCGCCGTCGCGCCGCCCGCGACTGGGCATGTCGACCTCAGCCGACGCCATCGTCGCTGAATCCTCGAATCTGCTTTCGAAATGCTAAGGACGCGATCCTCTAGATGCTTGTTCGCGGTGCTGTGAAAGAAGACACTCCGATCGAAGAGGGCGATAGATGGCTTGGATACAGGGGATGCTGATCGCGAAGAGGAGGCGCATCACCAGACGGTGTTGCGTTGCGTAGAACCACGAAAAAAAGTTAAAGCACGGGCCAAGTGACAGATGCCTTGTCACCAGCCACACAAGGACCCACCACAGCACACGCCACACACGACCCGCATTTAACCTGCACTGTCTGTCCCCTGAGTCGCGTTCGGCTGCTCTGCTCGCGAATTTTGGCCAGCTAATGAACTAGAGCTGACCCCTGGCCGGCCCTGAGAATCGCATCACCACATACCTACCGTCAAACTACGTCGCCAGTTCCTGCCCAGCAATCCACCCAGGGCAACCCGTTCCGCATCAATTCGCCTCCCCTCTGTCTCTACAGCTCTCCATCTCTCTCAACAATGGTATTTCCCTTTACCGCCCCTCGCCTGTGAAACACCAGGTCTCCCACTCTCATAGACGAAGCCCCTCCATGGCTAACAAGTAACCACCCCTCGATTTAGTTGGACAGACTCGTCGGCCTCGCCATGCTCGTGGCTGCCTCCGTCATCTTTCTCTACTACACCGTCTGGACGCTTCTGATGGTTCGTTCACACCCACACCCACACCTCCACCGCCTCGACACTGGCTCTTCGTGTGCAGCGAAGAACATAAACCAAGGATGGGGACACCAGCTAACCCGAGCCTTTTCCGCAGCCGTTCGTCGATGACGACCACATCCTCCAGAACTTCTTCCTCCCCCGCGTCTGGGCCATCCGCATCCCCGTCATCCTCCTCCTCGTGGGCTCCGCCGTCGTGGGCTCCTTCCTCGGCGTCGTCATGATCCGCAGCAACAGGAAGAAGGCAGCAAAGGCCAAGGCGGCCGCGAAGAAGAAGGCGTAAAATGGGGTTGACGATCAGAGCCTCCCGATGAGTTCGCGGGACCAATCACGCCACCCGCCATCAAGTCGAGAGGTCCCTTTCTGTCCTTGGCGGACAGCTACATATCAAACAAAGCTGGACATGGGGTGTGAAACTCATTCATCGCCATGTCCTTTGAATTAATTGATAAAATCAAGTCACTATTCCGCATCTGGAACCTCTAGGTGATATATTTCACCGTGATGTGTACATATCCGAAGACCAAACAATCACACAGGGGGAACAAAAGTGGATAGATAGAGGAGCGTATTGCCACTTAGTTACCTACTGAGTCTTAATCCAAAAGATCACAAACCAACCCAAGAAAGAATAAGCTACGTAACACTTTCCCAAGCCGTGGGGTAAGGGGTGTTCTCTCGATGCTAGCCATCGATCCATGTATAAATTACTCGCACAACGCCTTCCAATAGCCGAGAACCCAGAAACGGAACCACGATAACAGTGCCAGTAAAACACACAAGATCCCGGAGTAGGACGATACGCCAGCTAAAATATAGACGGGGTTGACGCTGCCTGTTCAACCCTCAGACTCTCTGGTCAGCAAAATCAAGAACCTCGCAGTCATCTTCAAAGAAGCCGTCCCCCTCTGCATCACCTTGCCGAGCAGTCCGTCGCTTCCTCGTTGTGACTACGATTTGCTCCTGATCTCCATACTCCATAACACGCTCCATCGCCGATGGAGGGAGAGCTTGGTCGTCCAGCCCTTCGAATCCATCGTCGCCTGTTATTGGCAGGATGCCCAAGTCAAGCTTCACGACTGGAATGTCCTGCCCAAAGGCCCATGCAGACGCAATGCCTGCCTTCTTGATTTGATTGTTGGGGGTTGAAGATTGTTGCTTCCCCTTTTTCTTTTTCGGGGGAGAATTCTCTGTAATCTCGACGTTTTCAAGGTCGGCCACTAGTGAGTCCATGCCACCTGGGTCACCTTGGCGAGTGTATTCGCAGAGAGCAACACGCCTATCTGTATGGAACGGCTGATAAGGCGCACTGGATTCGATCTCCGCTTGGGGAATAGCTGCCTCAAAGCTCTGGTCGTCAGCTCTCATGCGAGGACGAGGAAGGGTTACAGTATTTTCAGCCTCCAGGTCCCTGTCTGACAAGTTGAAAACATCATCAGGCATTCCTAGGTCTAAGATCTGGCGGATGGCCGGGGCGATCACATCATCGGGCAGCGATGGCAGATTAATATCTTTATAGCGGGACACTCGTCGGGCTGGCTGGCTCGATGAACGTGGCACCTTGTTGGGAAAGATGCGAATGACACC